ATGGCTTGTTTTTGACCATCATATTTTCTTGTTTCTTGTTCATCACCACTAACTGTGTGAATTGATGCACTGTGTGATGTCATCAAAGCAATTTGAAACATGGTAAGTAATTAGTAATTATGTTGTAATCCTGCTCAATAGAAATTTTTTGCAGACACATGTTGCATTGCATGAGTCATGTATATTTAGTTATAAGCACTGAAACATGCTAATATGACAAGACATTGGATCTGTCTCAAAAATGTTTCATATTGAAACCTGTTGTGAAAACTCATTCAGAGCAGCCTCACCATACTGAACAAAGAAATAATGGAGTATTTTTAAACAATGTGTTCAGAGAGCACATACCTCCATCAAATGTGTTCATTTAGTCTACGGAGTTTTAACCTGTATCTGATTAACTGTGCAGCCAAACATCTCACACACAGTAAAAAAAAAAAAAAAAAAGTGCAGTGATCGTCTTGAGTCTGAAAACAAAGTTTACCTAATAAGGTTAATAATAAAGGCAGAACTTTCAGGAGGAAATCGAGATTTAAAGGCCTCAGGCTTCCGCTGTGCCTCAGTGGCATTCTGTTAGGTGAGATGACCTTTGACAACACAGAAAATAACCTCAGAACGAGCTGTTTACACCTGTTAGAATGTCATACAGCATGTTACTGGGCTTCCCCCCGCTCACTGCAGTTAATGCTTCCTCCTCTGAAATGTATTGGTGTACCATTTGAGGTTGTTGATACTGAAAATGACTGAGATGATGAGTTTACACAGAACAATCACTCTGACACCAGAAATAATATTTCCGAGGAGATTCAGACAATAATGAGACATTAATTAAAAAGCATCTTGTCTAAAACTAATGCTTCACAGAAAGATTAAAAACTGGGCTTTCACTGAAGTTCCCAGCTCCAAACGTCTCAAAGAAAGTGTTTTGAGTGGATTGATTGGCCTCATTTTAAATATTAAATATGCACAGTACACAGACATCAAGAATCCATGATGAAAAACAAGTGCTGAAGCACTGTACTGTACTGTAAGAGATGAACTGTTGTATCACTACGCTAACTGCTGGCATCACTATAAAGAAGTCAGGTTTTAAAAGAAAATTATGGATTACTAAAACTTTCTTTTAATCATGTCTGACTGGGCTCAAGAGACCTGAGTACTGCAGCAGCAATCTGACACACGTCAGTCACACACAAATACGTAGAGACAGCATCAGAAGGAATCACACACTCTGTTCAATGTTCATCATCAAGTTCAATCAATTGATCTAGTGTAATGAGACTTTCATGTTTTGATTTCATTTATAATTCATTCATTTGTATGGTGTAAAGTAGTGGGAGCAGTCTGCTCTGGCTCAGTGTTTACTGGTGGGGCATCAAGAATGAACTGTCCTGGGAAATGCAGTTTTCAGTCTCAGAGGAGATGTGATAAAGTGATGAACTGATGTGTAGTCCTGAACCTGATCCGAGTATGAGTTTTACCTGTTGTGTTGACATTAGTGTGGTAAACTGCATACTGTTGTTTTAAGGTGCAGAATCTATACTTGAACAGAAACACGATGCTTGACAACAAAAAAATGTTCCTGCCCTCCAGTGAGAAACCTGCTATTTCTGATAGAAGGGATAGAAGGAAACTTTTTTCTCTTCAGTCTGAGCCACACAAGCTTTAATAGTCAGACTTGACGCAACGTCCCAGATATTTACAAGATGGAGCAGCTTCAGTTTCAGTACCTTTACGTGTCGAGATGACAGGAAGATGGCAGATAAAATCATGGCTTTGTTTAGTTTTATCATTATTCAGTACAAGTTTGAGATTCTGCAGAGAAGTCTGAGGAACTTTACCAGCAGCCTGAAGTCTAGACTCGGCTTGAGGTGGAGAAGAGCACAAGATTGAATCAGCTGCATAGAAACATTTTGGCTATCATTGCTACTAACAGTAACACCAGTAATGTAAATCTAAGGTGCAACTTTGTTAAAAACAGTTCAGATGGATCACTGTCTGGCTGCTTGACTTTCTTACCCTGTTTGACCTCAAAGGTTACTTTGGTGAATAGCATGTTATCTTAACATTTATTATTTGGAAACATGGTCTTCAGCATGTTCTATTATATATCAGTTCATGTGGTCTATAGATAACGAATATAGTTCCATGAGGACATGTCGCTGGTCAATTGGTGCTGTAGTAACATAACACTAGAAAAACCCCCCAAAGTTAGCTACCTAGCCTTGGGGGGTTTTCCTAAATACTTACTGCCAGTTACCTAAATTACACCACACACACACACACACATACACACACACACACACACACACACACACACACACACACACACACACACACACACACACACACACACACACACGCTTCTTCTCACTTTTAATTTGTCCTCAGACTAAAGGGGTTTAAATAGTGTCATGTGGATAAGCTGTTGGCTTTGTGTGAGTATTTATCATAAATAATAAATGCTGTGATCCAGCAGCACAAAACACCCCATGCATTTACATATCACTGGTATTAAACACAAAAACCCACCAAACTTTACAGTGAAAAATGTGAGAAATCAATAGACAGTGATTGGTTTATTGGCCAATAATTGGTTTATTGGTCAATAATAATAATAATGGATGTTCAATGGATTAACATGAAGGTTGTTGTGGGTTGTGAAGCTAAAAAATCGATGTGTTCTCACAGACAAAGAGAAACCGTGAGATAATCCGGTGAAGGTGTAAATATAGCCACGTCCCAACAGTCAAACTGTCACACAGAGCTGCAGAGGAGGGACTAAGGTTTCAAATAGAAACAGGTCTGTAAAGAAGAACAGGTCTGTGGTGACTGAAGAGTCAGTCTGTTCAGGTCCATAAATCAGTGAAGCTTCTCACCACATTCACATCACAGCTGGAATTAACATAAAGAGGAAGATGAAAACGCTTGTGTGCTTTGAAATTCAGAATTCAGGACTTTCACTATAAAATGTCATTAGCAGCGGGAGACTCTGACCTCTAATGAAACAAATTCGACACCCACTCTGGGCTGAATCAGCTGAGTCAGCCCAGCACCTCAGTAAAGGAAGGAGTGAATCATGGCATATAGACAATATAGTTTTCACTCTGAATCACGCAAAGTGAGAGGCCACACATCATTTACAGTACACACAGAAGTCTCCCAGAATCTTGTCAGCAAGAATCACACAGAACTGTCACCTCATCATTGTGTGCTCAGGGATCAGAAAGTACATTGTCAGAGCTGTTCTCACACTATTACTGATATTCACACAAGAATATGGTTCTCACAGACACGAAGCACTGAGCTGCACGTGCTGACATGATGAACTGTTTCCAGCATCCAAATCACCTCTGTCTGACAGCTAATCAAAACAAACAGAACATCGGAAGATTTCAAAGTGAGTGAGTGAATAAACGAGTCCTGACACTGCTGCCGTCTGTCTGTTTCAAATCTCCTACAGTGTCTTTGTGAAGAACTAAGAATTTAGAATGAGGACGGCAGAAATCTAAGTGTGTGGAACTCAACATGAATAGTCCTTTTTAGAGAGATTCAGTTTCAGAGTCTGGCTGTTGTTCCTGCTCGTTATCCGTCACACATGTAACAGAGCAACCGTTAATATTAACACATGTGCTGTCAATACAAGCCAAACTGTGAGCTGTGAAAAAGGCCTCAGTGGTTGTGATGGCTCGGTAAATGCTTTGTCCTGCCAGTTTGTGTCTTGTAAGACATCAGTAAATATAATATATGTATAATATATGTATATTTATATGTGTGTATATTTATATGTGTGTATATATGTATATATATATATATAATATATATATATATATAGATATATATAGATATATCTATATATATACTGTATATGAGGTTATATAAGTGTTTTAGATCCAAATGTAAATGTTCAATTGAATATTAAAAACAATAATAAACCAAAAATTAAAAACTAAATCAAAGTTTTCAAATAACACTTTCAACCTTGAAGTTTTTTTCTTGTATCATTTTTATCATGTTCCACTTTACAAATGCTGTCCAGTGTTTGTCCTGTTGATCTGCAACACACACCATGTTGTTAACAAAATGTAACGGCAGCTGAGAAGGATTCATGCTTATGATGTTTCTATTAATGCGATTCTTCAGATATTACAAAAGTCACATCTTTACTTTCAATATATTTTAAAGTAATTAAAACATAGAGTTTATATTATATTAAATTATATCAAAATATATTAAATTATATTATATCATATTATATTATAAACCTAACTTCACTCTAACCTTAAACACGTCTACATCTTCAAATTGAATGACTTATGTTTAGATGCTTTTTGTCCCAATAACGACAAGTCAAGTCCTTGTATGGACACACAACACACACACACACACACACACACACACACACACACACACACACACACAGTACGTGAGTGTAATCTGTGTGTGTGTAATCTGATTACTAGAGAGTCTCTCTGTCCACATCTGAAAACAGTAGATTGTCCTGAGTGAGTGGGACAGTGTTTGTGAGATGGACCTGGAACAGGTATTTCCACCTGTACTGTTGTCTGATGGGTGTCAGTAAAAACTGACGTTGAACAGTTCAGACATGTGTTTGTGATTTTGGTGGACCAACCCTTTATATGAATGTGATCACAGGCAGTTTTGACCTGAGTCGGTTCATGTGAACAGGAGTGAATGTAAAGATACAACTTAATTAATGTCAGTGGTTCATTCAGATGAAGAGAAATGCATCTTATTCTCATTAAATACATTCCTGATATTCACATTTAAAAAAAACCCTCTCTGAGCCGTGTGAAGGTCTCAGAGCGATAACGTGTTTATTCTCTTTGTACTTTCCAAAATACACATTTGTTGAGGTTGCCACAGCCGTGTTTGTGTTAAATTTCTGGTTGTGTTGTGATTTGCTGAGCTCACAGGCTTCAGCTTTGCTCCGTCTCCAGCTGCGTATAAATACTGAGTGGATGACTCGCAGCTCTGATGTCCCCCTCCTCTGAGACTGCCGTCAGGTGAGTGTGCACCTTTGTTACTACCATCCAGCACCATAAACAAGCCTCTAAGATGGAAATATCTTCACATTTAGATTTAAATAAGTTTTTCTTTCAAACAACTGAATTTAAACTAAAGGTATGAATGCAAACTTTCTCACGGCATAGTCCAGATTTCACTGTGAAGTGCAGCAGCTCAATTCATTTCAATTCAATTGTATTTATATAGTGCCAAATACATTATCTCAAGGCACTTTACAGTAGACTTTTTTTGTTCCTTTTTTCTTTTGTTTCTAACATGAACAGCAGAATCTTCAGTCTTCTTCAGACTGTGATCTGAAGTCAAAAACCATATTTCCTGTGGAATAACTCCCCTGAATCATTGCAGAGTGTCTCCGCTGAAGAACCTGAGAGAAGGAAGACAGAGGCAGGCAGCAGGTTCTGCACGCAGGTGATACGGTAAGAACAACATTCACTGCTTTGCATCAGAACTTCAGAACCCACCTGGGATCAGGATGGAGATCAGCTCAGACCACATGGAGAAGCCTGAGGATGAGTGTAGATTCAGAGAGGATCAGAGAGGATCAGAGAGGGTTTTTCACGTCGTCAGTGTGGTCTCAAAGAAAGTGTCTGCAGTCAACGTATGTCCCAATATTTCAGTTCACGACTATATTTCACAAAACACACAACAACAGTGTGAAAAGCTTCGAGAGTAAAGAACACAACAATACTCTTGGATGATATTTATACTTAACACACATCTTCATACACATGGAGGTTTTTAAAGACAATTATAAAGTTGTAAATCTGTATGCTCAGTACAGTGGAGTTACATTTTCTATTTTTTATTCATCTGCAAAATATGTTTTAATAGAGGTGAAACACTCATCGAGGTTTTACAGTGGTATTCGATGACAGTTAGACACTGACACTGACCACTGAAATCTGACTTATTCTGTCTGGGCATCATTATAAATCTACTCGTTTCAAAGTGAACTCTGACCATGTTTTATGGAACAACATGTTTGTGTTTAACATTTTTAAAAACCTCTGACTCTTCATTTTGAATGTCAGCTGTAATTTGACAAAACATGTAAAAGACAGCCTCATCCTGAGGGGGTAATGTCCGATCCTTTGACCTCTGACCTCTGACCTCTGACCCAGCATCAGCACCATCTGCAAATATTAAGTCCCATTTGTCCCTGATGCATTCAAATTTCAAAGACTAATAAATGACACTGATCATGAGAATATGAGCAGTTCATAATATAGATTATATAATATTTATACAAGATGTATTTTTTCTGATTTAACTTTAATCTTTGTTTGTTTCTCATGGATTGTTGAATAATTCTGGATAAAGCCTCTAAACATGACCTGGCAGGTAGACTTTGTTTTAAGGGCCAGGAGCCGTAAATGTGAGAAGGTAGATGGACTGTGGACTGATTTTTCTTATTATGTCCAGTACCAGCCTTAACCTACGTATTAATTGTACAGTATCTGCACCTGTACATTTATAATCAGCTGACTGACTGATAATTTTCATCTACAGCAAGTGAAAGACACTTGCTGTAGACAAAAATGATAATAAAATGCTGTCATTGTGATAATTGCATTATATACATTAAAACAAATATAAACTCTTCAAAAGTCCATATTCTAACAAATGAGTTGACAAATCAAATTAACACAATATATTTGACCAATATTTAATTAAAAACACTAATGTGTATATATACTATATATATCACACACACACGCACACACACACACACACACACACACACACACACACACACACACACACACACACACACACACACAGAATACAGGCTGATGTAATGTCAGTGGTTTGGTGAATTTTAGTGAGTTTTACTTCATCAACTAAAAATCTATGTTAACAAGCTTCTGGTTGTTCTACAGTGAAGGGAAATGTCAGATTAAGCACAGTTTCCATTCTGAAAGAAGAAGAGCTTCCATTTAAAAAGATGACTCATATGTCCCACCTTTCAGTATAAGCGGCTCTGGTGTTGATGTGGACCAGGACATCGGTCACATATATATAGAGAGGTTTCTAGTGAAGTGTGTTATTGTGTAGCTTGTGTGTGTTGTTGTGAAGTTGCAGTTAAGGATGTTATAGACAGGACAGACCTCAGGAAGCTTCTGTAAGAGCTACAGCCATCTTCTCAGCAGAAATCAGGAAGTGGGGCTGTAGAGGAAAAAATCAGTCCAAACACTCGTCTTTCACCCAAAAAAAACACTTCAAGTGTTTCCACAGTAACTTAGACAGTCTCTTTGGTCTCTTTTCTTTTTGTGTTATTTTAGTTCAGTATTATTCACTCCTCCAGCCACTAAACTGCATCTCACACATAAATGGGGGGAAATGTCTATATCTGGTCACATGCGTCAGGTATTTTTGTCTGCTGGTAACAACAGTATACTGTCCTGGGAAACAAAACTGAGATGTTGTTCATACATTTTCCCCCAAACCACAGTTTCTTTTCCATGACTGTAGTGAATAGGTTCCCAGTGTTTACAAAAACAACATCATTTACTTCTCCTTTACTCTGTTGTTCCCAAAAATCTGTTTCATTCCACCATAGCTACATGTTAGCATCAGAAGGAACCACTCAGCAGACTCATACAGTGACCTTACATTGTCAATCACACAGCGTATCACAGTGTTACCTGTATCGCTCACAACTACTGGCTGATCCAGTGTTTGGTTTGGTCAATGACAAAACTGCAGTGTAAATGCACTACAACACACTGCAATACTACAATATAGTACAACACACAATGTACTACAAGACACTACAATTCTACAACACACTACAACACACTACGAAAGAATACAACACACTATGACACACTACAATACCACAACACACTACGAAAGAATACAACACACTATGACACACTACAATACCACAACACACTACGAAAGAATACAACACACTATGACACACTACAATACCACAACACACTACGAAAGAATACAACACACTACGATACACTACAATACTACAATGTACTTCAACACACTGCAATACTACAACACACAATGTACTAAAACACACTACAATACTACACCACACAACATACTACAACACACTTAAACATACTACGACATATCACAGTACTACAACAAACTACAACATACTAAGACACACTACAATACTACAAGACACAATGTACTACAACACACTATCATACTACAAATACTACGACACACTACAACATACTACGACACAGTACAATACTACAACACAATATAGTACTACAAAACACAACGTACTACAACGCACTACAATTTAACAACACACTACAACACAATAAGACACACTACAACACACTCCAATAATACAACACACTACAATACTACAACACACTCCAATAATACAACACACTACAATATAAAAACACACTACGACACAGTACAATACTACAACACGTTACAATACTACAATACACAACATACTGCAATACTGAACGACACACTACAGCACACTACAATACTACAACACAGTACAACATACTACGACACACTACAATACTACAACACAGTACAACATACTACAACACACTACAATACTACAACACAGTACAACATACTACGACACACTACAATACTACAACACAGTACAACATACTATGACACACTACAATACTACAACACACTACAATACTATGATAGACTATGACACACTACAACACACAACATACTAAAACACACTGCAAAACTACAACACACTACGAAACACTATAACACATTACATTACTACAACACACAATGTACTTCAACACACTAAAATACTACAACATACAATGTACTACAACACACTACAATACTACAATACGCTACAATATTACAACACACTACAATACTATGATACACTATGACACACTACAACACACAACCTACTATAACACACTACAACACAGTACAATACTACAACAAACTACAACATACTACAACGCACTACATTATACTACAACAAACTAAAGTACTACAACACAGGACAACATACTACGACACACTACAATACTACAACACACAACATACTACAACACACTGCAAAACTACAACACACTACGCAAGACTATAACACATTACATTACTGCAACACACAATGTACTTCAACACACTACAATACTACAATACACTACAATAATACAACACACTACAATACTACAACACAGTACAATACTACGACAAACTACAACATACTGCAACACACTACACTACTACAACGCACTACATTATATTACAACAAACTAAAGTACTACAACACAGTAAAACATACTACGACACACTACCATACACTACGGCACACTACAACACACCTCGTTCTGTTGCACACCTCTGGGCCACTGCCAAGAGACCACTGGAACATGCATTATGTTCCTGTATCAAGTGTAAACTAGGCCATGAAAACTTCATGTAAATCAAATGATGATTGTCACCCAAGGGTTACTTGCTGTGTTCAGCAGGTGGAGCAATGACTATGACTTCATATTAGTACGCAGATGTGTGGGACTGTAATCAAACATGTGAAGTTTGATTGAAACATCAATATTTGCCGCACCACCAGAGCCACGCGGTTCAACCAAAATCATTTTCACAGTGAAGATTTGACAACATATAATAGAATTATAACAACTTCCTGTTGTGAAATTCGCCACACCACTAGAGCCATGCCCTTAAATGAAAACTCACAATCTTGAGAATCAAGCATCATCAAGTAATTTCTGACCAAGTTTGAAGTGAGTGTGGTCAACTTGCTAAGAGGAGTATATTAAATTTTAAAACGTTCTATTTTCTATTGCCATTAGGTAATGCTATGAATATAACTGAATATTGGCATGCAGATGTGTTCAGGCTGGGACTCTTATCAAACATAAAGTTTGAGCCAGTTTGGACAATGCGTGCTTGATACTGTATACAACAACTTCCTTTTTCATTGCAAAACATCAAAAGTCGCTACGCTGCCATGGGCAGGCTGTTCCACGAAAACTCACACTTTCAACAATAATTCATCATCAAAGACTTAGACAAAGCATTTGATGACCAAGTTTTAGGTGGGTGTGGTTAAGCCTCCTAGAGAAGTACAAACATGACATTTCCCGTTGCCACAAGGGGGTGCTATGATTATAAATGAATATTGGTATGTAGATGTCCTCAGGCTGGGACTCTCACCAAACTTATAAAGTTCTGGACCGTTTGGATAATGTGTGCTTGAGTTAAGGAACTTAACTTTTCATGGCAAAACATTGAAATTCCCTGCTCCGCCACATTCCAACGAAAATTCAAAAGCTTCTCAATTTAACATCCCAAAGGTTTTAAGATTATACTGACCAAATATGATTAATTCGCTAGGAGGACTTCTTTAAAGTATGTGACCCTTAAATTGCAAAAATGGCAATTACATTCAAAATGGCGGCTTCCTCTTGGAACCTATTAGACTATGGTTGCAGGAGGCTTTTTCGTACGTCTTGGCATGTTTCATGTGCCTACTGCTTTTCATACATGTAGGTGAAATCAAGGGGATAGGAAGTGCCTCTTTGAAATTTTCTAAGGGGCACTATTGAGCCATGTTTCACGAGTTTTTGAGCATGTTTAGGCTCAAAAAGGCGATTTACTAGCGATTTCCTAGCATACAGAAAAATGATAAACACAATACTTTCAATAGAGTCCTTGCACCATTTGGTGCTCGAGCCTTAAAAAACATAGGATTCAAGATTTTGTTCTTTATTTAATTCTCTCTCTCTCTCTCTCTCTCCCTCTCTCTCTCTCTCTCTCTCTCTCTCTCTCTCTCTATCTAACTATCTATCTATCTATGTATATATATATATATAATTATGTGTGTGTATGTGTGTGTGTGTGTGTGTGTGTGTGTGTGTGTGTGTGTGTGTGTGTGTGTGTGTGTAGACAATGAGATGTGACGACAATTTCTCTTTCTGTTTGAATAATTAACCCCTGAACCTGACTGTTGGCTGATTTTAGATCAAAGACCTGAAAACAAAAGTCTCCTACACTTTGATTTCAGAGTATCGGTGTGATGTGATATGTAACTAATAAACCCACACTTGATAGTAGTTCCAGTATGAGGCATCTGCAACTTTCCACACTGTAATGTGGCTGACTACAAGATCCAAACAGGAAATACTTCCCTCACCATTTGTGGCCGACGGATGTTGACTCACAGAAATACCGACCAAATATCGACCATCACATCAGATCATTTGAGTGTTCAGTGTTGTGACTGAAGCTCTCCTGATTGTGTATAAGCAGACACACTGAGGCTTCTGCTAGGGGAGACAAAGTGAAGGAGGGAAGCCAAAATGAGAGATGACAGTGAGAAGCCACAAACATGAGTGCTCTCACTTTCCACTGAATTCCTGTTTCTGTGGGTGTGCATTTGCAGAACACATTTGGTATTGGCTTTCTGGTTTATTGTCTAGATGCACGCTTTAAAGCTTTAAAGAAATCTCTGATGTGACAGGGAGATAGCTGAAAGGAAGGGCCCCGTTCTCAGACTTCACACAATACGTTATTATGTACATCATGACAATAACTATCACCCGCTTCATAGAGAGATGTATCCTGTCATAAGCTTTCATAAGAGCCTCTGAAGACTTACACCCATCATGAATAAACAAGATTAAGCATCATAGCTGAATGCTTTTGAGAAAGATATCATGTCCTGGAAATATATCCAGGGGTGGTTTTAGACTAGGACAGTCATTAACACTAGAAAGTGAAAATGACCGAATGAATGAACCAACTGATCAACTGACAAACATAAAACGAGGAACAGAATCTAAAGAAGCAAAATAATGTATATATTTATTTCATTGCTACACTCATCTCTCAATTTGATTAAAAATGTAAATATTAAAATATTAAAAATGCGTATTGCTTTCATTCACAAATACATTGATAGTACACATACTACTGAGAACACGTGTGTTTTTACAGCACAACCTCTACTTGTAGAGACTCCAGCACTATTAAACTGTTTTCTGTTTATGTTCAGACTCTCACAGCACTTGGTTCAGGTCAGGGAAAGATCCTGGTCTGGTTTATTACAGAAATAGTTCACACTGACTCAACATGATCCACAACATTATTTTTCACTAATCTTAACTAAGGTGCTTGTCTTGCACAGTGGCAATTCAGAGTCGTCAGGGCCCTAGCAAAAAATTGCCAGGGGCTCGCTCCAATCTGTGTTCATCAACATTATGTAATAAATAATCTGACACCAAATGAAAAATGTCAAATTGTTCAAATTTTTATAAATTTCAATGTTTCACTGTTTCCCTTAGTCGAATTTTCAAAATATAAATATTAAGAATTTTGAAAACCTTGTAATTTTCAAATATAAATATAAAGCATGTGAAAAACAATGTCATTTCCAAAATATAAATATAAAGAATGTGGAAAACCATAGAATTTTCAAAATATAAAAATAAGGAACATGGAAAACCTTGTAGTTTTCAAAATATAAATATAAAGAATGTGAAAAACCATGGAATTTCACAATATAGATATAAAGAATATGGAAAACCTTGTAATTTTCAAAATATAAATATAAAAAAGAACGTGGAAAACCTTGCAACTTTCAAAATATAAGTATAAAGAATGTGGAATACATGACCAGAACCAGAGATGAATGTATCAGAACGGTTAGTGTAGTTAGCATCTGTTTGTTTATCTTGTTTGTTAGCTTGTAACTGCCAGTGGCTGACATGGTGTTTGTTGATGTGCTAATGCTAACTTTCTTTCGCTATACTGACAAGGTTTCAGTGACTGGTGAAAGAGCAGAGAGTATCAAGATGGTTAGAGGAGGGAACATCAGAGACTCAGCCTCATGTTTGAGCCTCAGTCAGACCCAGACTCAGATGAGGAGTCTGTTGAGACCAGAATCAGAGACTAGCAGACGTATCAGAACAGGCAGCATAGTTAGCATCAGTTATTTCTTTATGTTGTTGATAGCTTGTAACTGGCAGTGGCTGACACAGTGTTAGTGGTTGTGCTAATGCTAACTCTCTCTCTCTACTACTGAAGCACATTTTGCTGACAACACAAGTAAAATTTACTTTACTTGTGATGGAGATTTTACAGTGTGGTGCTGCTACTATTACTGTAAAGGCTCCAGATACTAATTATTAAACTTCAAACACATTTCTTCCCTTGGAGCTTCTTTATGAATGTTTCTATGCAGCGTTCCACCATGACTAATTGTCACCATTGGAATGCGACGTATTGTAACTGACATGAACTGGAGCTGACCAGTCTTTGTTGTTTGTGAAGGACTACAGACTTTTAAACACAAAGTGTGAGGTTCTCAACAGATGGAGCATCAACTGATGAATGACAACTCTATGCAGTTGATAAAGAGACAACATAGTGAAGTACTACTCCAGGAAAGATAGCATCTGATCTGGAAATACAATCCAGGCATCTTCGACAAACACTAGTTCCAGTGGTTGCAGGTGACACATTTCACCACGCTGCACAAAAGAAGAGCAAGTGTGTGTGTATATGTGTGTTTGTGTGGTTGTGTACGCGAGTCAGTGCACCTGCTGTGAAGAACCACAGCCTCTCTGTCAGAGGGCTTGGTACAGGAAAGCCTTCACATTTGGGGTGTGTGTAATTGTCAGATAACCACACAGCTATGATGTTGTGTTCTAACTGCATCATGTGTGGAAGGCAACAGCCTCCAGCTGCTGCTCCCTGCAGGAGCAAGGTCATGTTCACAATGTAACACAGTCGTGTTGTCCAAAGTTAACAAGACTTAAACTGAGAAAACAACAACTTCTAACTTAATGTGTCATGAGAACACAATACATAAAAATGGCATAATTAGTGGGTGGAACATGTGCTCTTGAATTAATAAAGTGAGAAGAAACTACTGATTTGTGCTCCTAAATCAACTGATCTAGACTCAATAAGTTTATATGAATTAATCATTTGAGCACATGAATGAAAGAATATTTCCTTTTAATTACTAATATGTCCTTTAAATTAAATGTCTGTGTGAAAAAAAAACATAACATGACACAATAGGAGTCAGACAGTTGATGTGACAGCTCACTGTTGCGTTGCTTTATGCTACACAGTGGTGCATGTGCACCTAACTGACAGCAGCCTGAATAATAATAAGTGCAGGTCCTGTGATACCTGCTCTGCTCAGAATGTATGTTTTTTTAAATATTATGTTTTGTTGCATTGCCAGAATACAAACACACTCAGCACATCATACATAACAGCAATAGCCACACTGCCACAGATGCAGTGGGGGACCAGGTGCGTACAGTAACATGAACAGAGGTATGAAATTGAAACTCCTCCAAACTTGCAGTTGTTGTCTTTTAAAGTTGTGAAGGCTGAAGCCTGTGAGTGTCTCACTGAGGGGACGTCATTCTCTGCACAGCTCTAGCACTTTACATCAAATATAAAAGGCAAGAAGATTTAGAAAAAGCAAAAAACAAAAAAATAACAATATAGAAAGATACATGAGCCGGATTTAAACAGGCAAATGAAACAGAAATAAGCTGAATCAGAATAAAACAGGTTAAACAGTGGAATACAAATGACACTGCAGCTACAGTGGCGACTGTCTCTGACAAACAGGAAGCAGAGTAAAGATGTGAGAACTCAACTGATGTGATCCACTTCCCTGGTCTTACTGAGGACCAGCAGCAGTGTTGTGAACCAGATTTCTTCAGGTGACAGTGGCTCGCTGTAACTGTCTTAATGTGGATGATAAATTTTAGGTCTGAGTCCAGAGCACTCCAGCAGGCCTGGTTACTGGTCTTTAATGAGACTCAAGCTGCTCTCTGACTCTGACTGAATCTGATTTACATGGAGACGTCTCATCAGTGACTGATCTGTTGAAGACGCCCACTCAGTGCTTGTATGGAACCATAGTCAACATCGTATAAATCTGTGTGTCATCCACATAGTTATGGTGAGATATTTTATTGTTTTACATCACTTGAGCTGAATAATTTAAGATGAGCTGACGGGGAATGTAGATGTTGAAAAGTCTCACAGGACGTCCCGGTCTGTACTGATGGTGGAGGGGAGGAGCAGTGTCAGTGGTGTGTTCAAACTGCTGACTGGAGAAAACAACTGTGTCTTATGATTGTACTTCAAACAGGTTAGATATGAGCCTGACATTGTTCGTGTGGAGATATCGTTTTCTAAGAGTGGATTAATAGCTGTAGTTTAAAAGAAAGAACTGATCAATGCAATTAAAACATTTGAAATTCTTGATCTTTACAGCAGTAAGTGTTGCTTGTGTTCCTGTGGAAGCAAAAAAAATTGGGGACACAACCTTTAAGTCTCTACAGTAGAACAGTGAAGTCTCTTGTCACAGCAGGAATGCCACAGACAATCAGTGAGAGTGTGAGATGTGGACAGAACCAAACTCAACCACAGTGTGAGAAGATCAAACATCCTCCTCCTCCTCCTCCTCCTCCTCCTCCTCCTCCTCCTCGTCAGACCAGGGACATGGTATCACCACCTGCCTCAGGAAGTCAGGTACGCAGCAAATGACATCACAAAGCTAGGCTTGAACAAACTTTACCACTTCCTAAACACAGACAGACATGACATACTTTCCTGGGTTGAAGGTGGTGGTGGAAGAAGTGTTCAAATTCTCAGCTACACTCAGAGACTCATTATGTTGAATGGTCCCTTTAAAAGTGACTTATTATTATATAATGTATAGAATTCTAGTGGATTATTATTAATTAAAATTGACTGGTGTTTTTAATATTCACAGCATGTAATGATCTATGTGGTCACTGCAGAACTACAGTGATTCTGTTGTAAAATGTGTCGTTTAAGATGCTGATCTGTTACCTACAATAATCCAACTCTGCCAGTGTGATTCTAATGTGTTTCCAACACAAACCAATTTTTCTGAGAGGAAATACACATTGTTTTTCTACACATCATCAAATCATATTGTGTGTACAAAATGCTTTTTCTGCTCAGAATGACTGTGTATGTGTCTGCTTGGATTTGAAAGTTCAGTTTCATCAAATCCTATTGTATGAAACAGGCGACCCTTTTCTCCACTAAATAGCTCATGACATTTGGTATAAATTATCTACAGACAATGCAAAATATACAAAATCAATTAACTATTAACTATTATCTAGAGTCTTTATTCAAATTCTGCCAAAACTGACACAGACCTTCTATAAAAGGTAGATATCAAGTCTTTCAAACGGTTTTTGGATCAGTCAAACAATGAGTCCGCAGTGATATGCAGTAACCTGCTGTATTGTCTTGTATGCACATCATTTTCTATTTCATCTTATTTTTAAACAGATTTCACCAAAATATTTGACAGGACACTCCAGAAAAGCAGTTTGATGAGTGATGTTTTTTCAGAATTGTATCTCAGTTAAATTGCTGTGTATTTTTGAGGTTTGGTGACATCCCTCTCGCTGCCTTCTGCTGGTGAGGTTGATCTGGCTTCCTGGTTCAGGACCCAGTGGGCAGGGTTAGAGAGGGCATCAAAAAGTCCATTTAGAAACTTGATAACAATAATGTGAACAGTCTTTCAGATATTTATCTGTAAATGTGTGATTTTAGTGAATGTTTTAACTTCAGCTGAATTACTCCCATAGACCTCAAATTGTCAACCACACAGTGCCGGGTTCAACACTGGGGGGACGGTGTTGAACCTGGCAGGTGTGTTGCAAATTCCAGCCACTATTCAGGCACATGTAATGACACTTATTGACCTCAAGGTGGTGCTGTGATAATCAAGTTTATGTTCTTACAGTTTACTTAAAAACAGTTTGGCCTAGAATTAAAATGATTTCATAATTTTAATCTGTCAATACATCTGCATCTGGTCCTCATCTGTAACATCTGCTTGGATTATTGCCACTATATTCTCTGATTGTTTTGGATCCTCTGATACATCTATACTGGCTCTGCTAAATTTGTTATCTTTGTACTTTTCCAACAGCAGGAATTCTGTTTTAATTTTGGAACATTGGTCAATGAAACACAAACAGAGCAGAAAAGTTAGCCTTAAAATGATTAAATCTAATGAACAATTGGTATTCACCAGACTGAAACAAGTCATTTATGAAAGTTTGTTTAGTTAAGAGAGGTAAATCATTCTTTTTAATAAAAAACATGTTCTGAGGCCTTCATTTTTATTTGACACATCATCCACAGGCTGTAGTTAACATGGTGTCTTTCCTCCCAGTGTTGGAGCAGTATGGAAGACATAAGGCAGAAGCAAGAGAGACCGTCAGTGCTGCGTCAAGTTTCCCAAACAGCTTCCAGACAACACCACGGTATGCAGACACCTCAGCTCCACATGAGCAATATCTTTTATTCTACATGACAGTCATTTTATATGTTCTGACTTTTTTAAGGTTTGATTCTGTATTTTTTCTAGTTTGTACAAAGGTAGCTTAATGTAAAGTAAGCAACTTTAGAAACAACCATTCTTGCATTGAGGCTTGGTGATATTTCAATTTCTTACCTGAGTAAATGAACTGAATGGGATTTAAGACCATTTGCTACCTAAATGCAGTAGAGCATCAGCAGTGGCAGCAGAATTTGTTGCATATATTTCCAACAGGTCAAAAGTACACTAATGCTTTCTTTCTCTAGAGGTGGATGCAGGCCGTCTTTCCCAGTCCTCTCTGCCACAGATGAGCTCCTCTCTCATGCAAAGCCTTCACTTGCTCCCTTTGAGGGGAGACGGTCCAAAGCAGAGCTCCATCGAGGCCAGGCTCCATGATCGGTGACTGTCACAATGATCTTTAGATAGATAGATAGATAGATAGATAGATAGATAGATAGATAGATAGATAGATAGATAGATAGACAGACAGACAGACAGACAGATAGATACTTTATTTATCCCCTAGGGGAAATTCATGAATTGAATGATAAATGATAAATTATGCAAAGTAATGAGTTGGCTAAAAATATGTTGTGGTTAAGAACTGAAATGTATCTGCATACTGGATTTAAGATTCCTTTATTTGGCTAGATTAACTGAATGTGGATTCCATTGTGGTTGTGGAGGTGGATCAGTGGATCATCTGGAGGGGTCATGGGAGTTATCCCATCCAGTCAGTGTGTTGTGGACTTGGAAAGGGCCTATGACCATGAACCCTGGGGAATCTGGGATTTCCATGTAAAGAATTTCAAGGTGCAGCAGAGATTCAAAGAGTGTCAGGTTTGGTGACCAAGGTGGATCGAGGTGGTTCTGTGGCACTAGAGTCATGTAACTGTGCTCTGAAAATGGTTTATTGTAACTGCCCATGGTGAAAGAGATGAGAATAAAAGGGAATGTTCAGTTCACAGGTGGATTGGTCCCCCGACAGCAGAAATGTGGACACTAAGTGCTCAATTTACCGGCCAATCTACAGTACATTCTAACAATCATCTATGGTCATGAGGTTTGGGTAGTTACCAAAAACATTAGGTCACAGTGTCAGTTGAAGTGCACTTGGATGCTTCCCTGTCCAATTTATAGGAGAACCCAAGGCAGACCCAGAATGTATTGGACAGATTACATACCCCTCTGGCCTGGGAACACAAGATCAGCCAAGAAGACCTGGAAAACGTGACTATAGGGAGGTGGACACGTGGGCTACCTTGCTAAGCTTGCTGCTACTTCAACTAAGACCCAGATAAGCATGGGGATGTGAATCCTCCATCTCCTCCTCCTCCGTGATGTCAAGATGTTCCAATATTACACAACTTCTCTCCAATGTGTTCTGAGTCTCCTCCCAGTCTCACGTCATGAATCAGCATGGTTTGCTGGTTAAATGTGCAGACTCAGCTGGCTTCTTTTAACTAGAGGGAACAGCGGTTCTACTCCAATCTCCTCCTGGATATGTAGGCTCCTTACCTTGTCCCTAAAGCTACAAGTCCTCTGAAAAGGTCCTTTGTCACTGTTGTGCACAATGACCCATTTGGGCCCTTTCTGATCTGGCCCCCTTAATGGCCTCCAAAATGACACATGACAATTTTCTGATCTGCCAGCTCTATGGTTAAAGGCAAGACTTGTGTTACCATTCCGTGGCTCTGGGTTGAAAGATTTCTAAGTTTATTATTCTGTGTTTATAGTTTTTTGTCTGGCTGTGGTGGTTTAGTTAGTCTTTTACCTTTTTTCTGTAATTAGCTTAATAGACATCTCCTAAAATCGCACAAGATATAAATACATTTACTCAAGTATTGTACATAAGTACAATTTTACTTACTTGTACTACTTTATATATCCACTCCTAAATATTTGACTTTTCTGTTCGACTACATTTACTTGACCACTTTAGTTACTAGTTAGTTTTAAGATAAAGATTTTACACTGTGGATAATATAACGAGCACGTTTTTTTGTCAGTGCACATATGTTCACATCCTTTTCAATGTCAAGTTATGCTTTAAGAATGTGTGCCGCTTCCCCAGAGAAATTGGTACATCTAACTGAAAGCTTTTTAATTGGATTCCACTCAATGACCAAACAGATTCTCATTTCTCCCACTTTTATTTTGGAAGGTTCAGCAATTTAGTTTGATAGTTCAGTTACATCATTCCATTAATTCCATAAGTTCCATTAGTCGTTTTTAGCCAATATTTCCTGTGACAAGAAACAATGCAGTTGTACATGTGCTGAAACATAAGTTGAGGTGTTGGAATAAAACTTTCCCACTCCACCTGTGACCTTCTCCACTACACATATGTAAACTAATTACACACATTGTGCCATCTTATCTGCAAAAATCCAGATATATCATCACGCTGTTTCTTGTTTCTGTCCAGCATTTTGTCTCAGCACTGCCATGTGTGTACCATGTTCGCAGAGTAATACAGTCCATAATGTGGCCAGTGTTTGTAATAACACCGTTTTGACTTTTCACTTTAACAATCTACCTGGTGATGTAGATCTACTGGGGAGGTAGACCTGCTGGTGAGGTAGACCTGCTGGTGAGGTAGATCTGCTGGTGAAATAGATTTACTGGTGAGGTAGATCTACTGGTGATGTAGGTCTGCCTTGTGATGTAGACCTGACGGTGAGGTAGACCTGCTGGCGAGGTAGATCTACTGGTGAGGTAGATCTACCTGGTGATGTAGGCCTGCTGGCGAAGTAGATCTGCCTGGTGAGGTAGATCAACCTGGTGAGGTAGATGTACCTGGTGAGGTCCATCTACCTATACATCAAGACATTTCTGTTCCCTCCAGCAGCCCTGAGGAGACCAGTGCTCTGTTCGTGAGTGGCATCTGCCGCTGGCCTGGCTGTGATACAGTGTCTAAAGATTTCCCCAGCTTCTTAAAGTAAGTAGATTACTGAACAGTACTGGACCACATTCACTTAATCACTCATCATTAAAGTGTTGCAGCACAGATTACTAATGAACCACTCTTACCTTGAGATGAATGATGCAATATTAACCTAATAATTATTATTTACCTCTGTAAAGGAATTGTTGGGTCTCTGTAAATAATATTATAAAGAGATGGTCTAGACCTACTCTATTTGAAAAGTACCTTGAGATAATTTCTTGTGAATTGGTGCTATACAAATAAAGATTTACTTGACTCAACTAAAGGAACAATTTCAGGATATATGCTTTTCCTTCTAAACCAGAGTCAAATGAGCAGACGACAGTACAGAGTGCAAAGCTCAGTGCAGGCTTACAGAGACCCAACAATTCTTTACAGAGGTAAATTAATAATTATTAGGTTAATATTGCATCATTCACTTCAAGGTAAGAGTGGTTCATTAGTAATCTGTGCTGCAACCTTTAATGATGAGTGATTAAGTGAATATGGTCCAGTACTGTTCAGTAATCTACTTACTTTAAGAAGCTGGGGAAATTTTAGACACTGTATCAAGCAGGAGCGGCAGATGCACTCACGAACAGGCACTGTCTCCTCAGGGCTGCTGGCAGGGAACAGAAATGTTTTGATGTATAGGTAGATGGACTCACCAGGTACATCTACCTTCACCAGGTTGATCTACTCACCAGGCTGATCTACATCACTCAGATCTACATCATCAGATCTACATCACCCAGATCACATCACCAGGTAGATCTACCTAACAGTCTTCTACCTCACCCAGCAGGTCTACCTTCACTGTCAGGTCTACTCACAAGGCAGACCTACATACACCTAGTTAGATTTACCAGCAGTAAATCTTTCACCATCCTTACCTACATATGTACTCTACTCACCAGATATATAATGTATAAATGAAAAGTCAAACGGTGGTATCAAACCACTGGCCACGATTATGTGACCTGTAACTCTGAATCGGTACACATTGGCAGTGCTGAGACAAATGCTGGATCAAATAAGTACATCGTGATATTTGATATTTGATGCATGATAGGATGGCACAATGTGTGTATTAGTTTAACATATGTGTAGTGGAGAAGTCACAGTGTGATGTGGAAAGTTTTATTCCAAATCTACTTATGTTTCAGCACATGTACAACTGCATTGTTTTTGTCACAGGAAATATTGGCTAAAAACGACTATGGAACTTATGGATATTAATGGAATATGTAACTGAAACTATCAAACTAAATTGCTGAACTTCAAAATAAAAGTGGGAAAATGAGAGATCTGTTTGGTCATTGAGTGGCCTCAATTAAAAAGCTTTCAGTTAGATGTACAATTTCTCTGGGGAGCGGCACACATTCTTAAAGCATAACTTGACATTGAAAGGATGTGAACATATGTGCACTGACAAAAAAACGTGCTCGTTATATTTCCCAGTGTAAAATCTTTATCTTAAAACTAACTAGTAACTAAAGTGGTCAAGTAAATGTAGTCGAACAGAAAAGTCAAATATTTAGGAGTGATATATAAAGTAGTACAAGTAAGTAAAATTGTACTTATGTAACAATATTGAGTAAATGTATTTATATCTTTGCGATTTTAGGAGATGTCTATTAAGCTAATTACAGAAAAAAGGTAAAAAGACTAACCTAACCACCACAGCCAGACAAAAAACTATAAACACAGAATAATAACTTAGAAATCTCTTCAACCCAGAGCCACGGAATGGTAACACAAGTCTTGCCTTTAACCCATAGAGCTGGCAGATCAGAAAATTGTCATTGTCTATTTTGGAGGCATTAAGGGGGCGAGATCAGAAAGGGCCCAAATGGGTCATTGTGCACAACAGTGACAAAGGACCTTTTCAGAGGACTTGTAGCTTTAGGGACAGGTAAGGAGCCTACATATCCAGAGGAGATTGGAGTAAGAACCGCTTGTTCCCTATCTCTCCTACAACAAAGGAGAG